TAACGATGCAAGACTTTTGACCATTTGGCCACTCGCTACTGGACTAATTACGAATTGTCATCACTTAGAGAACCGTTGGAAAGCAGTGGAGTACTGTATAGCTGTCCTGTCTTCAGAAGCACGCATTCACTAGGATTTGAACTCGGGACCTTTTGATTACAAGGCGGGCTCACAGACCATTCAGTCACTGGGACCCAATCCAGTGGTCTATGAATTCCAACTTCTGCAAAGCTGCGATATTTGGCGCAATCACCAGCTAAAGTCCTGTGTGGGTGCTTACTGTGAAGAGTTCCGAATTAGGACGAAACAGCTGTCCAGTATTCCCTGACTTCCTAACTGTTCTCTAAATGATATCAGTTCCTGATCAATCCCGTAACCAATAAAATCTCTGCAGATGAACACTTTATGTTTCAGTCACTGGGTTGGAATCTGATATAACTTGTGAATTCTTACTTGTGCCTTCCCTCAGTTCCCTTGGTAAAACGGTATTAGGTGAAAGTAAAGTGTTTTTGGTGTACAGAATATAATGAAAAGCTGATAAATATAATAAGTACAGTACTATAATTGGTTATTGAAATAGTATTCAAAAGCTGTTTTTCTTTTTTTTCATTCCTTTGCATTCCGAGTGAAACATGAAGCTTCAGGTTTCGAGGTTTCAAGTTTCAGTAGCGATGTTGCTGTCGTTTTCACTGGGTGGGTTTGCTAACCTCATGCTAAACCTCTTCTCTTTTACCGGCTTACTGTTGGTCAAGTGAAGTTTAGGAGTGCATAGGCCGGGAATCGAATCTGGAAATTTTTTCAAGTGTCTGGCAAGCATTCTACCATTTAGCGCTGTTTACCTCTTTTACTTGTCAACTAGAATTCCAACAAACTAATTCATTGAGTAATGTAAACTATTCATTACACCTGTGATAAAAATAAAGCAATTAGCAACACGAGACGTTCGTTGTCTTCATGATGTCATCACTGAATTATCAGATAACTATACTTTCACAGCTGGTAGATATTTAAAATGGGTGTCAGCATTACTGACACTTGTAAAAGTGTTGTGTAATAAATGTTGTGTTCATAAACTACCTGAAGAATTAAATGGACTATTCGATGTTAACATCTCTACTTCAGTTAAGCACCTTGTTGATTAGTAATCATTAACAAGTTACACGTGCTAACACTGTGAAACAATGTCCACTTAGGAGTCTTTACTCGTATTAATTATGTTGTAAGATATTAAGATCATAATTAATATTTTGTTGTAATGATCAGTGTTGGTCGTTGGATAATAATAAGTGTCGTTGTTTAGTTGTAAAACTACTAACGAGAAGTAATATGTGGTCACACAGGTAAGTTATAAAATATTCTTGTACAAGATAATTCACTTTGGTTTTATGATTAAATATAGGGTGCATCAATGGGTCAATAGTAGAATGGTCGACAGGCAGTCCTGAATCTCCTATGGTTTACTGATTGGTAGTAGGCTAGAGAAAAATAATTGAAAGCTGAGTGCAAGACTGGTACCCTCACTTCATGAAAACAACATCTCTGCTACTGAAAATTCAAAGTTTAAAGCCTATAGACCTGTGTTCCACTCGGATATGTGAAAGAAATACAAAAATAGAACTGTCACATAACACACGCCATAGTGATTCAGTATGGTGTAGATGTATTCTTGGCATAGATGTGTTGGTATTTCGATCTGTCGTTTAATGGAAAGATTACTGCCACTAGTCGTAACTAAATAATAAATATAACAAGAGGAATGTATTACAGTGATTCATATTCACGTGCAGTATTTAAGCTCAAACTGCTATCAAGGTTAAAGAAAGAAGCGAATTCTCAGCATATATTAATATTTGCTTACTTCATGCTAGAGCTGAATCTTACTATTTCTATAAATTATCTACTTAAATGAGAGTTCAGGGTAGGTTGCTTTATGAAACAGAATAAACTTCGTATTGATTCGTGACAAAAATCACTGTGCAAACACAATCAAATCTCTTTAAACCTACAAATATTATTCCAGCAATAACAAAAATGTTATAAGAAGTAGTACTTAGTCCAGAAAAGCTGAATGTTAAATACAATGTTATACATGGATTCATTAATAAAACATCATGTATAAAACGTTATGTTATCATCAGATGGCTGATCAAAAACTAATAAATAGCAAGCAGCATACCAGGCAAGAACCTGTAACCCAACAAACACTCGGAAGGAAATGGGCATTAGTTGGACATACATTGAGGAGAAAGTTGAGTCATATTACGCTCTAGGCAGACCTTCGAGTGAAACATCTACGTAGCCAACATGATTTCAACTACAGGCAGTACAGATGAGAGCGTCAAAGCTGACCAGGATCACAGAATCAAGATAAACTTTCATTACTCTGAAGTCAGCGTGGAAATCTACTGCACTTGACATAAAGCAGAAGATTCGGATTTTAAACACTATTCTCAAGTCAGTTTTTGTATGTGGTTCAACGACCTGATTCATCGTGAGAAGTTTTACCAACAGGCTAGTGAAGACTTGTATCAATAACAGCCTTTGCTCTATGCTGAAGATCAGATAGGTGGTTGAAGAGGATCAGTAACAAGTAACCCTAGCAACGATCTAACTAAGAGCCAATTGCTCAATAAATGCGCAGGAGGAAAGGAAGATACTCTGAAAACACACTGAGGAGGAGATTGTTGAGTGGTATCATGCTCCAGGATTTTAAGTCGAACCCGATTGGGAAATGATAGGTTGGGTGTGGGCTGAGGATGATATTGAGGAGATTGTGTGGAGAGGTGACAGTTTATGATCAGTCACGGAGCCATTCGGAAGAGATTGCGAAGGACAGAGTGAAATGGTGATGTGCTTTTGAGGCTCCACTCTGAACCGAAGAGGCAAATAAAAATAATTATTTATTTAAGCACAAAAGATATTCTAAATATCTGTTAATAAATATTTATTTTCTGTTATTAATTAAATGGAGTAATAATAATAATGATAAATTAATTATAATAAAAGTGCATTGAATGAAATATGAATGAAATATAAATATAACGTATAACTTATTTTGTGTAGTTATTGTTGTTGGAATGTACACAGTGTACGTTTTTTCTTTTACCTCATCTGTCAATATTATAAAAGAACTTTTAACTTGATTAACATTTCTGTAGTCATAAATAAACTGTTTCTAATTAAATCTTTTTAATGCTCTTAATTAAATAACCAGTGGCGCTGATCAGGTGTATAAACAATTATTTACTGTTGTTCACCTTATACTATGAATTGGAGAAAAATAGCTGTACAACACTGATATTTGAATTCATGACCAGTGTCGGAATCACAATGTGTTCACTGTGTAACGACAGAAGGCAAGAGTCAGGCAACGGATCGTTTATTAAGGAAATCAACACATATTTATAGATTTCATGTACATATTATAGATTATTGTTAGCAGAAAAAAAACAGTCCTCTGATTGGTTGTTTCTCACAGAAGGTTAACCTTGCATTTCTTTGTGGCTGTTTCTTGAATGTCAGATCATCTATATGTTAAGTGTATCCGCCTACGCAAAGCCTTTCTTTTCATTTTTCTCACGATAAATATTGAGGACATAAACATTGACGTCAATTACTATCTACCAATTTTGACTCACAGCCAGCTCTCACCACAACTGGCCTGAGTTCAACCGAATAATGAAGTCTTACTCGACCACTACTGAATAATCAAAGATATGGTTAGGGCATGAGTTACGCTTTCCGAGCCATCACTTTTCAAGTCGAGTAATGTTAGCTGAGATAGGATTAGATTGGAAAAGAATTTAGGGTGGTCAATTCAAAACATGACATCAGTCCATGAAGTCTTTGGAAGTTGGGAGGTGTAGACTGTCTAGTTGGTTTCCTTGAGATGCTAAGAGCCCATGGCTTGAAACGTTTAGTGATATGGCTTAAAATCGTTTCTGTAGTGCAGATGTAACCACACTTTGTAGTCCCTAGGATCAATTTAATCCTCATTATTTCCAATGTGATTATTTTTTCTACCGTACATTTTGAATTTTTTTCTATTTCTCTACCATTATGTGACATATGAAATGTGATAACTTGAACCGCTGCACATTGTTTATCAGAGCTCTATATTAAAACTCAGTAATTCAGTTTAGTAGCTTGTGTGTAGAAAAAATACACAACTTTTTATGACTGTGAACTATTTCAACTGAATACTTTTTATGTACTGTTTGACTGTTCATGCTATTCCGGGTTTACATTCATTTACATACTAATCAGCGCAGGTGAATTACTATTTAGTTGATAATGGTTAATCATAGAATCTAGAATGCGTGCTTCGTCCTACATCAGGTCCGTCAGCTGGTTGCTCCTTCCCTTATGTGGGCTAAGGAGTTAATAGTTCAACAGAGATCGAGCGCTTCGACATATTTAGATTTTATGGAATTCATGTACATTTTTAATTGGTGGATGGTGACTATCAGTGGAATCCAGGATGCGCATTTCGTTCTATTTGGGACTCGTCATCTGGATGTACGAGCATTCCCTAGTGAGTGATGATGTTCCTACTGAGGGTCGAACCTGATTCCCATAGTTTCAAACACCAGCCAAAGCGTTATCCACTAGACCACTTGGGAGACGAGAGCCACCTCTTGTGCAACGGGTCATATTGATTATTTAATTGAATTTTAGATTTTCTGGTGGATTGATCGGACCTAAGTGCTCGGCCTCAGGTATATCCAGCTGACAAGTCCCAAATAGGACGAAATGCGCATCCTAGATTTCACTGCTAGTCACCATCCACCAATTAAATTCTAATTAAGTGTCCAGACATCGTCTAAGCATCTGTACAAGAAGCCGACATACAACCTGAGACCGAGCACTTCGGTCCAATCAATCGAACGGGGGAAAATCTAAAATTCAATTCAATAATTCATCTACATATGTTTGTGTATAACAGTAACAATAATTATAATTATAAAAAGTTCACAGAATGACAGTACAATTTCACTTACTTCAGCAATTTTCAACCCAAGCCGTAAAATATTATCTGGATCACGTATACTGAATAGATATAAACCATGTTGAATAGCTGTTTTATTTGGTTTAAATATTAAATGAATAAAGAATGTATCATTTGGTAGTTTTGATTGTGGAAATAAACGTAATGCTGGTATACTGTATAATAAATCTCCTGATGGTGGTTGAATTTTTATAGGGAAATCTTCATCTGCACGAGCTATATCATAACGACGGTTTAATAAATAGGTTATATCCCAATTCACATCTGAATAATAAACAAATAGAAAATATGAATAGAAAGTGAAAACAATATAAGAGTGCATAATAATTATTATTATAGTAATACTTATTTAGTAGCCGCGTTAGTGGTGTAGCAATAGGATGCTTACAAACCACGCATGTAGTCCAGCGTTCGACTCTTGGCCAACGCACTCCTAAACTTTGCCAAGTCAGCAGAAGGTCCAGCAAAAGGGGGAAGGTTGGCTGTCAGACTAGCAATCTTACTATGCAAAAATAAAGCCAATGCTACTGAAACTGCAAGGCTCAAGCTGGAATCCATGCTTTCCACTAGGAAATATAAAGGAATAAAATAATGATAATAAAAGTATTCAGTAGTAATTTGAGTTGTAGTGTTATGATTTTTTATCAATGAAATTAATCGATAAGAAACACGTTTAGAGATCTTATCATCTCCTTAATAAGTGTAATGTTCAAGTTAAGCGTAGAATTCAATTTATTCATACGTTTCATACTAATATCAGGTGTAAAAATAATTCATCACATATTACTCCACCCCATAAATCGAACGCAGGAGCTTTAGGTTACGAAACCAGTTCATTGATCATTAAGTCACTGAGTTGTAATTCAATGATTAGTAAAATGTAACTTCTGTTCATTTGTGATATAAAGCTACTGTCAACCAATGCCATCGATGAGTACCAATTTTACTCTGACATAGTGGACTCAGCTAGCTAGGACTTTTCATTAGAACTTCAAGACAACCATCCAGTAACTACTAATGAGCTAAGTTCGTGAGTGTTTACTGCTCAAGAGTCTCAAACTTGGAAAAAACGTCTGTCCATTGTTCCTTGGTTTCCGGTGATTCTCCGGAGGATGCTGGTTCGTGACGAGACCTACACTGAAATTAATCCATATACCTATAAACATAATCTGATTACAGGATTTCATCATGAAGTGACATCGGTTAGAGGACAATCGGAAAACCCAGGAGTGTGATGAGAGCTAGCTGCAGGCCAAAAACTGTTGACACTTATTTACGTCAATGTTTCGTCCCGAATCGGGGTCATGAGGAAAAAACAGTAACAAAGTTTAAACTTGAGGAACTCGCCAACTAATCACATCAGACTTAGCGTGTTAAATACGATTCACAGATATATGGCCTGATTGTCTAAGAAACGGCCATAAAGAGATGATGGAATAACCTTCAGCAAGAAGACAACCAATTAGAATATGTTGATTCTCTGGTAACAAAGATGATGTACACAAAAATCTATAAATATCTGTTGATTTTCTCAAAAAACGATCTGTTGCTTGGCCCTTGTCTGCTGTCGTTATAGGAATACTGTACAGCTGTTTAGTCCTAGTTTAGAACCTTTCATCAGTACAAGTACAGCAGGTCGAATGTGAGGAGAAATACTAGCCAGTTATGACATTCGCTAGTGGTCGCGCCATATCGTGAATTGATAGAAGTTGGAATTCATGGGTTGGCTGTTGAGTCAGGTCCCAGTATCTTCATGCTCTACAAGCTCACCTTGTAACCAGAAGGACCAGGTTTCGAATCCCGTTGGCTGAATTGTACTGCTGAAGAGTCGTAAACTAGGACCGGGCAGTCGTCCAGTACTTCCAGGTTTTCCAAGGGTCGTCTTACCGATGTCAGCTCATGACGAAATCCTGAAACCAATCAAATCCCTGCAAACCAACACTTGAACAATCTGATTACGTTTGTGCGTTTAACAGTTTAGTAATGCAAAATGCCTTAAAGTTATTTAAAATTCTCAATACTATGATAGTATATAGCAGAATAACAGCTTTTATTCACTAAAGTTAATTCTTACATGAGTAAATCTTAAACTGTGTTAATTCATTGGCTGTGAAATATTATTCGTAAAATTTTACGCACAAACCAAAAATTAAAATAAATTATTCGACAAACACTTATTAATACTTGAAAACAATTAATGAGTTTTTCAAATTGTTTCCAGAACTCAGTCTTTCATTCTGATAAACTTCGAGGAGAACCGTCGAAAGAGATAACCTTAGATCTGAATGCCTTTGATTGAAGGTGAAATTCTTAGTTCGATAACGAATTAATATAAGTTAACGACTTACAGAAATAGACTCTAAAATACTTCCTCAGCAATCTTCTTATTAAGATATGAGAACCCTTTGTTCGCCAGATTATAACTTCACTGTATTCATCAAGGTGTATACCTAGCTAAGCAGGTAATGTGTTGATACTAAACGGATAATTACATCTGACTCATTCATCCAATAGTCGAGTTTAATTCTCGCTTATTTCAATCAAATGATAACGTAATAATAATCATACTCATAGCTTTATTCTCAAAACAGTACGTTTGATGCACTGTTGAGTTTACAGCAGGTGGTACAATACTGAATCTGATTTCCTCTATGAGTCGCACAGGGCATCGATGGCGCAGCGGTAGAATGATCACCAACCATACATCTGGTCTGGGGTTCGATCCCTGGATGACGCAGTCCTTTGCCTCGCTAAGCTAGTAATAAGACTAGTAAAGAGAAAAAGTCGGGTATGGAACTGTCAACCCCATTCCGTAAATATAATAAACACCACTGCCACCGAAACTTCAAGCCTCTGGCTTGAAGCCCCATGTTCCACTGGAAACATGCAGGAATGAAAAAAATAGGTTGCATAGTAATGAGTGAAATTATTAACAGGGCATTTATATTGATGATGATGATGTCAATATGGTTAATACCTGAGTCTCGTATTGTACTGGGGCCAATTCCAAGTTAATAACCCATCAACTAATTGTTTCAATCCTAAATCATAATTTCACTTTCAGCCTATAATAATAATTAATCTGACTGAAAATATTTTAAACAGCCATGCGAATTTGGAATGTTGCTTGAAATTAGAAAACTAATCAAAGTTTAATTACCAAAAATATCAATGAATACTTTTATGACTCTTTAGTACAGATTAATCCTATGGAGAAATATGTCAACTTTCCTTGCTTTCTAGTTGATAGTAACAACTTGTAATAACTTCTTTTTCAACTAGTAGTAACATCTAAATTAACATCAAGATGTTTAATCTCAGAAAATAATTAAATCATGAGAGCACAAACAATATAAACTTTTTTTTTCTATTTCTTTAGGTTCCGAAATTTCAGAAGTGGTGTTGTTTTTTCAAGGGGTAGAGGTGCTAGCCTTACACCTTAATCTACACTATTTCCCAAGCTTACTACTAGCTAGTAGACTAGGCGAGAATTCACCATGTGTTGGCGGTAGTTGAATCCTGGACCACATGTGTGCGTGGAGAGTATTCAAGCACTGAATAGTCCGACTCACACAACTCGCATAACACAGTAATTTTTATCGAGATTAACAGTTATTTTACCTATAATAAAAGTTAGAAAGTAAGTGAAAACGTGTAAAAAATATCCAGCTTTAAACTTAATGGCAAGCAAGCTTCACGTACTTTCCTACTCGTTAGATGAACCATATATGTTTTTATTTATGTCAGTAAGAAAAATAACTGTTGGACAAGTGTCTAATAACGTTTGAAATTATCATCAGTGTGATTATAACTTTCCATCTTGTCATGATGAAGTTTTTCAGGGGGTCTTGGAATATGTAGACTGTTGATTTTGTTTATTTATTTTTGAAATCTCCAGCTGCTATTTGTGAACGGAATTTACTCAATGAAGAGTCACTAGCATGACGAAACACAGATCCCAGTATATCCCTGCTATCCACTGTAAAACAAGTAACTTGAAGAGAAGCTAGTATCTAGATGCCTGTCGCAGCAGAATATATAAGGCGGTTTAATTCAGAAGAATCAACAGGAAATAACACGTATTAATATATAAAACATAAAATGATATCTGTTACCCAGGAGATAGATTTGATCATCCTGCTTTCCAGTCATATCGATAACAGCATTTCTGACTTAGATACAAACACATCCAAATGAAGAGTTCCACTTGGGACGAAATAAGGATCTCTTGCTCCATTATGAGCAATTATAGACCATGTAATACATAAGCTTTTATTTCACTCTTAAGGTATTTGTAAATTTTTACAAAACCAGGTACCATTTTTATAGTTACGACAAACTGATCCAAAATGTATCTCCAAGTTAATTACCATTCTCAATTCAAGTTGGATTTGATCTGTTAGTGAATCACTAAAAACTAAGAAGCACTAAACAGATGTTTCGTCTCAGTATGGAACTCTCCATAAACCCTACTATATATCGAAGTTACGATCTACTGGCAATGAGAGATACACATTACTATTTAAACACCGGGTTAGAATCTGGGTTTTAATTTCTGTCAGTCGGCGATAGAGCGTCCCTATCAACCAGTTTCATTGGCAAGTTGCCTTTCTCAAAGCCCTATGGATAAACTTAACTGGTCATGACTTCTTTGTATGAATTTCATCCATATTTCAATGAAATAACTTGAACTCCAGATAACTGTCTCATTTAGTTGCTTTGATTAACTAGGATTTTCACTACTACTTTGTTTGGTGTTTGTTTATTTTCTCAAAAAGGTAGTCTACCCTTTGCCTTTGTCAGTAATGTGTATACGTTCAAGCACTCGCATGTGTCTCAGTGTATATGCATAGACACTTCTGTATCTATTTTATAATGCATCAACCACAAGTTATTCAGAGCTCTTTTACCATGTAATATTTTGACATAATTACTAACTTTATGTATTTATAATAGTAATAATAAATTTTGTACTGACTATGTAATAGTAATGGTAAAGCTTTATTTAAGACAGTATGCGAGTATACGGTACAAACATTTTCAGCGTATTCATTTCCAAAGTACTTTTTTCTTCACACAGTATTCACATGTAAAGTAATAATCTGAAGTATATCTTCATTTCGTTTAAGAATTGTACATGGTTTACTTGGAAGCAAGTTAAATCATCGCGCAAGTTTATGTATAGGTCATTTGCTATCACTGAACGACTAAAACAATGATAAATCCAGATGAAACTAAGCATTTTGGAGGAAAGTAATTTCGGT